GGCTAGAAGTCCTAAGTTAGTGCCACTGCAATGAAGTCAGGCATGGACAGGGTTATCTTCCCTCTGCAAGCTCCAGGGAAGAATCTAGTTTTGTCCCTTCCTGCTTCTTCTGGTCACTATCATTTCTTGGCTTGTGGCTGCATCACTGTAGTCTCTGTAACTCTAGTAACATTGATTTCTCTTCTGAATCAAATCTTCTTCCAATTTTCCTGATAAGGATACATGTGATTGCATTGAGGGTTCACCAAAATAATCCAAGATAATTTTGCTATCTCAAGATTTTTCACTGAATGACATTTAACAGGTACTTCCTCCAAATAAGTTAACATTTATAGTTTCTGATGATTTGGAGCTGACATCTCTGTGACCATTATTCAGGGTACTATATCTCTCTCACCAGACTGTAAAGTCAATGGAGTACAGCTCTCCTCCATTTCGCTCATTTCTGTGTCCTCAGAAGTCATGAACAAGAATGCCTGCTACACAGTAGGCATTCACTGAATATCTGTTAAAACAAGCATTAGTGAGTCATTTTGATTATCCTTTAAATGACGAGTTCTTGTTTTACTAGAGAAGCCGTGACTAATACCATTATCTGGAATTAGAATGTTGAGAAACTCTCTATAGCGAGTATTTTAATAACCAAGCCTTCTTCGTCCATAGTCCAGGTTGCTTCATGCAGGGACAAACTTCTCGCATGTAGATGTTTTCTAATAAGGTTTGTATGATCATCTGTTAGGGATGCCAGCAATAGTACTTTCAAATTGGGGTTCTTGTTCTAAATAACATTTATTTACTTGCTGCTTTTACTTCTTTGTCTGAGAAATGTCTGTTCATTTCAGATGCCCATTTTTGAATTGGGTCCTTATATTTGCGGGGGGCCTGATAGTTTTGAGTTCTTTATATATTCCAGATAATAGTCCTTTGTCTGAGGAGCAGCTGGTAAAAATTTTTTCCCACATTGTAGGTTCTCTTAGTTCTGTTGATGATTTCTTTTGCAGTGCAGAAGCTTTTTAATAAAATGAGATCCCAGTTGTTGATTCTTTCTGCTATTCCCATGCTACTGAGGATTTGTTCATAAAGTCTTTTCCTATGCCAATGTCTTCAAGAGTTCTGCCTAACTTATCTTCCAGCAAGTTTAGTGATTGTTTTAATATTTAGATCTTTAATCCACTTGGATTTTAATTTAGTGCATGGTGAAAGACAAGGGTCTAGTTTTAATCTTTGGCAGGTTGAGATCCAGTTTTTCCAACACCATTTATTAAGGAGGCTGTCTTTCCTCCAGTGGGGATGGTCAGCTCTGTTGTCAAAAATAGTTTCCCTGGTGTGAATATTTTGCAACAATGCATAAGATTCTAATAAGATTACTGACATTTAGAAATGGGAGGAAAGGAGCTAAAGGTGTAGGGAAGGTGTGATACGTAGGGGAAGAACAAAAAGGGAAAAGAAAAAAATGTGAGAGAATGAAAAGATGAAAATAAAGTGTTTGTAGATGGGGAGGGGAGGAGGGGGTGAAGGGAGGGCAGAGGTAAGGGGGAAAAAATGAGAATCAAGACTTGCCATGTAAAGGTACATGATCCCAACAATGAATGTAACTGTACTGTATCCCTAAATGTACCAATAAACTCAATAAAAAAAAATGATGTAGCATCACTGGTCATTCGAGAGATACAGATGAAAACAACACTGAGATTCCACCTCACCCCACAAAGAATGGCTGCTATCAAGAAATCACTCAATAACAAATGTTGGCGGGGTTGTGGGGAGAAAGGAACCCTTTTCCATTGTTGATGGGAGTGCAGAGTAGTGCAACCACTATGGAAATCAATATGGAGATACCTCAAAGAGCTAGGACTAGAGGTTCCATTTGACCCAGCCATCCCTCTGCTGGGTATCTTTCCAAAAGAATTAAAAGAATCATATCACAGTGATATATGCATACCTATGTTTATAGCAGCACATTTTGTAATAGCTAAAACTTGGAAACAGTCCATTTGCCCATCTGTTGGGAACTGGATAAAGATGTGGGTTTTCTATAAAATGGAATACTACTCAGCCATAAAGAATGAGAAATTAGATTCATTCATAGAAAAATGGATACATATTGAGGATATACTCCTAAGTGAAATAAATAAGTCACACATGTGTAAATACTGAATAGTTTCTCTGGTATGAAAAACTATAATAGTATATAAGATCCTAATGAGATAACTGACAATGTGAAATAGGAAGAAAAGGGCTAAAGGTGGAGGGAGAGTGGGAAGGATAGGGGAAAGGTAATAAGAGAAAGAAAAAAATAGGAGAAAATGAAAAAATGGAAATAAAATGTTTGCAAATGGGGAGAGGGGAGGGGGTGAAGGGAGGGCAGGGACAAGGGGAAAAAATGAGAACCAAGACCTGTCATGTAAAGGTATGAGATCCCAATAATGAATGTAACTGTACTGTATATCTAAAATGTACCAATAAACTCAATGAGGAAAAAAAAAGAGAACATTTATTTCTTAAAATGTTTATAATTCTCTAAATCTTTATTAGTTTTAAGACCACTGAGAGACATTTCCCTAGTTTGTGGCCCTGTTGTGGGCATGGTTGTGAGAATCCACAGATGTTAAAATTTTTTTGTGTGGATCAACTCTATTTTTATGTAGAATGCCAGAGTACTGTATTAGATGCTTTCAAGGCTAACACGTCCCTTCACACATGGGGAACTTCTGTACTTTTGTTTTAAATGTACAAAAATGGCTCTAAGTTTTAAAATTCTCAGTTTACATCTCCAAACTTGCCACAGATGTATAAAATGTAGTCACTAAAATTATGCAACTGACATTTTAAACAGTAACTTTGTCCTAGTAATGCAGCCATAGGTAAATAAATGTCTCTCCATCAAAGGAATCACGTCGGAAACAAGCAATAAGAAAATGTGTTGATCTAGATTTCCCTTCACATGAAGCCATGCATGAAAATCAGTCTTGTGACATTGGTCAAACTGCTTTCAGCCTAAGTAGTTGTGCCAACTAGGATGTTTTTGCTTGCAAGTAAAGAAATGAATTTAAGTGACTTAAGAGTATTCTTCATCATAACAAGATAGTGCCTAGGAGATGTTGCGAAAAAGGCTGTGTTAGTTCTGAACAGCATGTTCTCTCCCAATGATGATAGCAAAGAAAGGCAAGAGACAGTTCTCTTCTTTCCTTTTTTCCTTTTCTTTGCTTTTTATTTGGGGATGAGCATCTTTTTCAAATGTCTCACAAATGTATTGATTGGTCAAATGGGTCACATGTCCACTTCCATCAAGGAAGAGTAGAAAAGCAAATTTCTGGTGTATTAATTTCCCTTCGGGACATAAAAGAATCCAGTTTGTTTACACTAGAAGCAGAGTGCTCAAATTCAAAATTACAAAGCCTTTTAATATATCTCCTCCCCTTTTGAAAAACATTCTAATTAACAAGTCTAGGGATATAGAAAGGCTTCTTAGTAGTGGTGCAAGTGGAGAGAAGGCAAAGAACAGGGAACAGATACTAAATGGGCACCTGTTCATCGTGGATCAGCCCTACCACAGGTAAGAAGACAGAAACCTGTCTATGGTCACATGGCTAGAAGGCATGATACTCACCACATCACTAAAAGGAGCCGGCCAATCCTGAGGGCTTCTTACATGCTATCTGTGTTACATTAACAGCAGCTAACATCAATTATTTCACTTCCTTCTCAAGCACAGGCAAAAAGGAGATAGTCCACTTTATAGATAAGGAAAATGTGGCTTCAGGTCACATAGTAAGTGTGGCTCTGTGAAATAACTCCAGTCCTTTCTCCAACGTTGGGTATTTCTTTACACTGTATTGTTTTTTTTTTTTTTTTACTTACTATACCCTGTCTACAACTACTGCCTGAGAGCTCTTTGCCATTCAAGATTCCTCGTGTAAAATGGGAATGATTCTACCTTCTCTAAAGCATTTCTAAGAGGAATGAAGTTGGGGTAGACCGTGTAAAATGGCATTATTATAGAATTTATCTCACTTTACTATAATTTTCAGCTATGCCACTTACCAGGGCAGTTTTCAAGTATTTTGGAAGGGTCCCGTTTCTTGGTTACTGAGAACTCCAAAGAGTTTATGGGTATGTGGATTATACCAATCATTAACGTATTGAGAATATGAAAAATATTTAAAAACAGTAGCAAACAAAAGCTCTTAGCTGTCAGTGATGACGTCATACGCTGCAGGTATCCTCCAGAAAACTGTAATCTTGTGAGAAAGAAGGTGAAAAAGGCAAACGAGACGTGTATATTACAATGAAAAACTGTTTTCCTTCTGTGGAAATCCCAGGGGTTCTCGAATCTCACTTTGAGAACGCTGCCCTGGGGGTGAAGACTGTGCGCCAGGAGGCGGTGGGCTCTCAGTACTGCCTGGAGACAACCCTCGGACTCTGCGCAAGGACAGGAGGAAACCCAGGCCCAAACAAACAGAACCCCTAGAACTGAGTTACACTGCCCCGCAGCGACTGCAGCTTCCCGGAACCCGATTGCGACCTTAGCAACCGTCTCTCCTCCGCCCCGCAGCAGCCGCTCTCCACCGTGCTACGTCCCTAGGATACCTAGGATCTTTCTCCCCGGGTCCCGCGACCAGCTGGGCTAGGCGTCCCCGGTGCCCAAAGACAGGCCCCGCCCCGTCGCCTCACCACAGAACCACACCCCCCCCCGGCTTCCAGGGCAACCGGGCGTCACCACTCTTCGACCCGCCCCCCCTAGGGCTAAACCATTCGCTTCCTCTCAGGCGGGGGCGGAAAGAAGAGATTTGGTAGACCGTCTCAGAGCTTTTATACCATATTTTACTCACTTAACTTGAAAGATACATTAAGTGGTCTCTTACAACCACTGGACCAACGAAAACAGCGGGACATTTCTTCTCTCCGGCTGGAACGGCCCCGCTGAAGCCCAGTGGTCTGGCCCGCTCGGGAGCCTCGCAGTCGCCTTGCACAGGCGTAGGGGCGGGGTCTCCAGGATGACGTCACGCGCAGGGGCGGGGCCGCACGCCTCGGGGAGGGGAGGCGGGCAAGATGGCGCCGGGTGAGTGATTCTCCCGGGTTCCCCCAGCGGCTGCGGAGACACCGGGGCGGGGGATCCGACCCCCATTGCCCGCCTTCCTCCTCTCCCCCGCCCCCGGAGGCCTCGCCTTCGCTTCCTCCCTTCTCTTGGGGGGGCGGGCTGGATTCTCGGGACACCATGTCGGACTCTGAGGAGGAGAGCCAGGACCGGCAACTGAAAATCGTCGTGCTGGGGGACGGCACCTCCGGGAAGGTCAGTCCTCGAAGGGGCGCGTAGAGCTGCCCCGCGCTCCCTGAGAAAAACAAAAAGTCAGTTCCCATTCCCCGCTCGGATCACCATCTCCTTCAAGACTCGGGCCGGCATGTCTCCCGGGAAACTTTCCCGCCTCTCCCCTGGAAGGATGGAGAGATCTGCCAGCGCTTCTTCCCTCCCTTTGCCTGCAGCTCGGCTGCACCTGCGCCCCCGCCCCTTTCCCGAGCTGCCCCGCGCTCCCTGAGAAAAACAAAAAGTCAGTTCCCATTCCCCGCTCGGATCACCATCTCCTTCAAGACTCGGGCCGGCATGTCTCCCGGGAAACTTTCCCGCCTCTCCCCTGGAAGGATGGAGAGATCTGCCAGCGCTTCTTCCCTCCCTTTGCCTGCAGCTCGGCTGCACCTGCGCCCCCGCCCCTTTCCCGGTCCTGATGCCTGCACTGCGCCCCGAGCTCCCAGGAGCTTTGCCCAGAAATCACATTCCCTCGGTGATTACTGGGGATCCGTCACTCACTGGTCGGTTCGCTGCAGGGCACGTTGCGAGCCTGCCTGAGATTCCTTCGCCACATACCCAGTGGTTAGGGGTCCCTGCAAAGGGTGAAATGTGAAAATACGTGAAAACGCACACAAAGCGCCTAGAGTACGGTGTACACTCAATAAACATCAGTTGGGATTTCAGTATTGTACGTGTTCTTCGTCTGTGTTCGCAGCACAGCACCTGTCAGTATGAGCATGTGTTCAGCAGATGTTGATCGGGCTCCTCTCGTGGGCAGGATGCTGAGGATAAAGCTGCCAGCCCGAGAGGGGCGTCCCTGCCTTCCAGTCTAGCTGGGTGACCGTGGTTTCAGTGAAGGAGAGTGAGAGTATCCTGTAGCCAGGCGATCTCCTTGGCTCCCATGGCGCGCGGGGGGGGGGTCCCTAAGATGTCAGAGGTCCCTAGCAGCCTCCCTGTCCGGAGAAGAGCCTCTGTCCAGGGTGTCTGCACACCTGTCACTCTTACCGAGGGCGCCTACACTTCTGTGGATGTTGGTGGTTGTCTTTCTTCTACCTCCCTTCTTTTTGTAGCCAGTCTTCAGACCCGCTGGTTCTGACTGCCGCCAGTTTCCCATTTTCGGGCTTCACATTTCCATGTTGCTGATGGAGCTGGGACTCTGGTTTCTGCGGTAACGGCTTCTCTTTATCCCCTGGCAGTTAGCAGTACGCATAAGATGCTGCTGCTGCTGCTTTTGGTTCTGAAATTTGACTTTCCAGCGCCTCTGGGAAAGGTTTTTGTCTTACATATGCAAAATTTGGATATTCTGTTGACTTCTCTGTTGTCATTCCAGTATACTTTGTAGTAGAAATTTATTCTAAGGAAACATTTAATATGCTGTGTTTAACTTTAGATATTTTTGGGAAGAAAAAAGCTTGGGGCCACTTTATGAAGTATTCTGAGGTTTTGTACATTTAAAAACCTTTTTTTTTTTTTTTAGTAAGTGAATTGTTATAAATCAACAAGCTTTTTAACACTTATTCAACAAATATTTTAAGTTAAATTTTGATTGTTTTCTCAGTTCTTTAACTTTTAATTTTTTAGTGTGATTTTTTTGAGATAGATCTTCTTATGTATCCCAGGATGCCTTTGAACTTGCAGTCCTCCTGCCTCAGCCTCCGTAGTGCTGGGATTACAGACCTTAACCATAATGTCCAGTTTATTTAGATTTTCTTTTGACATCACCTAATTTTTTTGTTTTCCAAAATGTATTGTTTTGAAGTGATGACTGAGATGCTTTCTCATTTAAAGTGATAACAGCCCACAGTGGTAATACAATTGCAAAAAACCTCTTAAATTACCTATTGTCCTATTTGCTCTCATATTTCTTTAAACTTTTCATTTTCCTTCTAGTACTTATCTATGGTACATGTGCTACTTAGTTATAATTTGTTAATAATTTTCTATTTAGTTTTAAAAATTAGACTGTCATACTTGTTTTCCCTTCATTGCTAGTTTACTATGAATAATTATGATTTTTTTCATCTCTTCTAAAACTGTAGCACAGGACAGAGTGTATTTTTTCGCTTCTGTATTGTTGAATCAGGACTGTCATTCTGCTTCAAAGAGTAACAGTGATATTTTCATAGTGCTCAGGCTTAGTGTTCATCTTCTTGACTAACCTCTTTTCAAACTCTAGCAACTTTTTCTGCCAGAATTTTTCTGAAATGAGCGCCTGAACCCTAACTTTCTAACTAACCTAACCTTCCTTTAGTCTTATATCAAACATTTTTTTTCCCTCCATACTCTGTTCAGCTTTTAAATTATTGGCAGCTACCAACATTCCTAGTCCCTTTCTTTCACTGTCCTTTTATGAACAGCTTCTCTATCTCTGATGTATGTATTTTGATTTAACTCTTTGCCATTTTTTTTTTAGCAGTAGTTTTTCTTGCTGGTTTAACACTGGGCATTTTTGTACACACTGACAATGATAGAGGAAAGTACTGAGATGACCACTAACGTTTCTCCTAAGAGGAATTTGGCTCCTCCCTCCAGTGACACGTGCTTCTGTTTCTTCCTGTTCTGATTCATAACGATTTAATTGTACATTTTCTTAACGATTTTTTGAGGCAAAATATTCTTTTTTGTTGTCATGTCCGTATTTGTAAAGGTAATTTATAAAAAGCTAGAAAATTTCCAAATCTGTACCCGTACAATCAGATAAAAATATTTTAGATGTGTCCACTTTATAATTATTTCAGAAGGGTATTTATACAGTAACTTTTGAGAAATCACTGACTGTGAAAGGTGGCATAAAAGGAAGTGCCAGCTACTGATTAGTTGCTTCTTTGTATAATTTTCGTAGCAAAATGTCAGGAGATAATATAAAAATTTGCTTTAGTACTCTGTGTGTTCCCTGTATTTGTAGTTTTGACAGTTTATACCCCATTCAGTTAAAAATCCTATGATTTTGAGGCTTTACGTTTGCCTCAAATGTTTGATAGGACTTTAAAAATCTCATAGTCCTGTTTCCAAGGAAAGAAGCTTATTCAGAATTTTTCTGAATTGTAAAGAAAAAAGTTAAAATTTGAATTTTAACTTGAAAAAGTATCTCAGACAACAGCCATTACATATGCCATTAGTTTTTCTTTAACTTTTAAGTATTTCAACCATCTGTGTATTAAATATTTGAAATGTTGAGTATTAGTATTAGTTATTTTTCTCTAGAACTCTGAGATTCTTCACAAATGATTTTGTGGTCTAAGTTAGACAAATTCAATGGCATCACTGAAGCTAAGTGAAACCCAAAAACTCTTAAAAAAAAACCACTAAGTTCTTTTAGTTTCATGTTTTTATATTGATTTATGTTTAAGGAAGGTAACAAATATGTCTAGAAGAACAACTTTCATATAATTCTCAATAAATACTTGATCATAGATTTTTAGAAATGTTACAAGTTCTGAATATTTTAATATGAAAAAATTTGGCATTTGTGCAAATTGCCATTTGCATGAAAAATATCATTTTGCATGTGTGGGTTATCTTGTTAAAAGGAATGGAAGTTTGGCAAAGTTTTAATTTGTACAGTTGTGTTTACATCATAATTAACCCTAATATGCTGTCTTGGAAATTTGTATTTTAGTTTTCATGATTTTAAGTGTCAACATCTCATTTTTATATTTAAAATAAAGAATTCCCCCTAACTTCGGCAGCCTGTCTTGAAGAGCATAAAGGCTTAGAGAGACTGTCTCTTTTTCCTTTCCGAAGACTTTAAAATAGGAATAGTGCACTTAACTTGTATCAGAAGTCTGATTTATGGAGTTACTTCATTTTCTTTTTGTTTTACCAAAGTGATTGTTTTGTTGCTTTGATAAAAAAGGTACTCTAAAAGAAAGCGCTACAGTTTTTAAATGAATCTTTTGAGATTTTATTTTAAAAAGTCAATAAATACCTGTTCTTGTTATAATTTGACCTTTTTAGTATTATAGTTCTTGGAAAATATTTATTTTACTTATTTATATTAATTAAAAATACTACCTTTTTATTTAAAATGCATATTATAAAGGTCATTCTACATCATACTAATATCTTGAGAGAAAAATTTGAAAACTAAGATTTTTTTCTTATAGAAAAAAAAGAAATATTCCAAAAGCAGTTTTCCCATCCTTAATTAGTGCTTCTTATTATTAGCTGAGGACAGAGCTACCCATAAAAGGTAAATTTAAGAGTTTTCTGAAAATTTTATTGAACTGATACATAAGATTCAGGTCTTTAATCGTGTTGCTTTAGTCTTTTTCCATTGATAAGTCCCAAATTCTAATTTCTGTGAAGCAAAAGGAGCTTGACGACTGGGATTCAAGGAATTGTAGCTGATTAGTTTGTGGTCCTTCGCTGGCTGCTTGCAAGTGAAATTTACCTAGTGGTATTAGATCCCTCCTCTCCTTGGAAGTGATTAGAGCTGTTTAAAGTTGCTTGCTGGATTAATTGGAGTATAACTATTAAGATTACTTAAGATTTAATAATGATCTTATGTTTATATTTTTTAAACATTAATTTTGTTTAAAAATTAATTTTGATATTCTGTATATCAATTCTTTTAGACCTCCTTAGCCACATGTTTTGCTCAAGAAACTTTTGGGAAACAGTACAAACAAACTATAGGACTGGATTTCTTTTTGAGAAGGATAACGTTGCCAGGTAAGAGACTAAAAAGTCTTAACATGGACGATTGTGTTAGTCTTACAATAAGAGGTACAAGGCAGAAATGCGTAAAATAAGTACCGGGGCTGCTTCTACACGAAAATGTATGCAATTTTCTTCATGAGGTTACTTTCACTGCCATCTGCCCTGTGCGTACACTGTGCATGGATGTGAGAAAACCACCACCATTCCCTCACTATTTTTGGCCACTATACATTTTTTGAGGCTAAACAATAGTTATATAATTTAATGGTCTTTAAAAAAACTAAATGCTGTGCATTTTTAGCAGATAGTAACTAAATGTGAAAAGTTTGGGAAGGATTGTTTTTTAAATACTATTTTGATTAGCTTCTGCTTCAGTTTTTTTGTTTGAAAATTGGAACAGAAGTATAATGTAGCTGTGGAACTTCTGCGCTCTAATATGTGAATGCTGTTTTATGCAAGGCAGCATGAAATTGCTGGCATTTAATAGACCACTAAAATTTAGGGTCCCCAGGCTCTCATAAAAATACAGTTTGAGCATTCAAGATGTTTCAGTTCACCATGCAAAGAAACTATTTAGATGCCAGTTGCAGCACATTTTGTGGGAAATACAGGGAAATAATAACAAAAAACGAGTGGTTTATGTTTTAAGTTAGTTTCTGAACAATTTTGGGGCTTTAAACTACACTGTCTGTTCAATCTCACTGGCTAAATTATATGTTTAAAGTATTTTATTAACAGCAGTTTATCTTGTTTGACTTTGTAAACATCTACCCTCTTTGCTGTGAGGACACATATTTGAATAAAATTGTTCCAAGCATAATGTCACATTCATGTACTGGAGTTCAGATAGTGGGAAGAGGCTTAATAAATTCCAGTATTATTGAAATAAGTTAACCTCTCAAACATCTTCTCATGAAGTTACCGAGAAGCTAAGGAAAGTTCTTGGTAATTGGAGGTATTTTTCGTATCTTATTACTAATACACTGTGTTATATTTTGTGATGGTTTGCATTTGTTATCGAGGAAAAATATATCAAGAAATACAGCATGAGGAAGAAAGAATTTGATTATTCAACAGGTTTAATGAGAAATATGGGTACATTTTATTTCATTTGTATTTTCTTTGAATACATTCAATACTGAAAATATAATTTTATTTGTATTATTCTAATTGATAGATTAGTACTACATTTAGAATAGTTACATCAATCCCTAGTAGAATACATGCATAAATTATGTAATATAAATGCTGAAAACTTACTTTCACAACATTTTTTCAGAAATGCTAATTGTATACAGAGAACTTCAATGTAATATATATATAGTTGTCAGCTATTTTATTTTAATATTTAACAAAGCACCAGTTTTTCCATAATTTTATTTAATTTTTCTGATTTTTTTAAATTGAAAGGCTTAACTCAAATATTATAAAAAGGCTGGTTTTGGATATTTTATATAGGTGATGTTTGTGGTGATTGCTGATCTGTTCCACAGTACTACCAATTTTAAAATTTTGTTTACTTTGTAAAAAACTTTGATGTTCTCAGAATCCAAATTTATAGTACATTTTAGACTTAGAAAATTTTTAGGTTACAGAATGATACTAGGCAGTGTATACTTTTACTGAATGTATATTTCAGTTTTCTTGATGATGTTTTTATTTTGATAAGCAGTGTTTTAGAAGGAAATTTCTGTCTTTTTAAAAATCAGTTGGTTTTCTATAGGTGATAGACTGAAATAAACTCAAAATTATGGTAGACATTTCAGTGTGAAAAATTGTTTTAGTGCATCTTGATGTTGTATAATTGACATTATTGAAACGAGTTGAATACATTAATGGGCTCCTAGTCTTTATAAGTATTGATGTAATGATTAGTATTTGTATCATTTGTTGAGTAAAACACAGCGTTTTTGAATTTATAGTAAAGCAGCATAAGGTGTTACTAGTTTGGTAAAGTCTTCTGCCCAGTCAGATTGTGAACCTCCTACCCATCCATTCACATTCTCTTCATGCAGGTTTTCAAGGTCATTACTTTGCAAAGGCTCATCCGTTTTAATGTATTTCATGATCTGGTATACTGTATAGTCTGGATGCAACCACTGTGCAGATTTTACTGCTGAAAGTAGTGTATCTGTTAGTCAGGGATTCTGCTGATAGAGCTTCTTAAGCGCCTTAGTCCAAATACTTTCAGGAAGCTTGTGGGTACACTCCAGTAAACAGTGGTGTGCTGTGAAAAGGATTTCTAAATCTTTAGTAGAAGAAGTGGGCAGTTTTTTATTAGTTCCATCTTGACTATGCAGCATTTTAGGCAGGATTCACCAAGGTACCAAGTGTACTTTTACACTTGAATCCCCTCGGTGGCTTTCATTTGTACTAAAAATGCCTTATCTGTATTTTGTCACCTTATTTATTATTTTTTTTTCTATTTACTTGTCATTTCTTTCAGAGGAGCAGGGATTTTGTAGCATTTTACATTGGAGATTAAATTACCAACAATTTCTTCAATTTTTTTTTTATTTCTTGGAAATTTGATGGATTCTTGTTTTTATTTTAGAGGTTATAATATTATTTGATTGCTCTGACATAGATTTATAGTTATGTCATTCTGAAGATATATAATAGGAAACTTCATATGATTATGCCTGCAAAAAAGAAAATTGAAGTGTATCTTCTTTTGATTTTGTTCTTAAGATAAACAATCCCCCATTTTTTTAGTTTTATTGTATTAATAAGCCTAAAATTCAAATGTAGAAGTTAGAGATACATTTCTAAGTATATGAAGTAACTGTAAAATTCATATCATTTTTTGACGTTATACTAATAGTGATCTTTTTACTAATATGCCAGAAGACATGCATTAATGACAATTCTACTGGATTATCATTAGTGTGTAGCTGTTTTTACTTCTGAGTCACTCGAACTTATATTTTAAAAAGCAAAAACAAGCAAAGAACAATTTTTGTTTGGAAAGATATACATTTAAATGAGTACTCTTGATAAATGAATATACATTGAATAGATGATACAGTGTCTTGGAATAATTGTAGTCGGACTTTGGTAATGTAATTAAGAGCGTGTTCCTAAATTTATAATTGAAGTGTTCACAGTATTGAGATGGGATCTGAATATCAGAATGTAAAGAAGGAAAGGAAAGAAGCTTCATGTCATCATGATCTGAGGATACACAACAGGGATCATATTGACCTTGAAGGAATGGGATTAAATACTTTTAAGTAATTATTAAGTATTGCTTAAATTTATACTCTTTTAAGCCCCGTTTTTTAATGGAAATAAAATGACTCTGAAGTGCTTTGCAAATATTGTATTTACTTAGGGGTTTCTGAAACTTTTTTTTGTTTGTTTGTTTTTTGAGACAGGGTCTCACTATGTAGTTGAGACTGACCTGGAACTCTCTGTATAGCCCAGGCTGGTCTCAAACTCAGCGATTCTCCTGCCTCAGCCTCCTGAGTGCTGGGATTACAGGTGTGCACCAACATGCCAGACCTGAAACTTTTAATATACCTCTTACTTCTTATTTTCAGATGGTATTGAAGGAGTATAATTTTAGCTTTGAATCTCACAAATTTAGATTTTTAAGAAATTGAGTTTATAGAAGTTGCTGGACAGATCTTCGTCTGTGACATTTACTTCTTCAGATTCATAGGGCTTTAAGAACATTTTGGTCGTTCCTCTGTGAGCACTGAAGGTGCGGTCAGTGGGAGTGGGGGCTGAACTTCAGTAGCTGTCTTCCAGTGCTGCTGGAATTCCCCTGCACTGTGGCAGATGGACCAGACCCTTATTCAAATAACGGAAAGATTGTAATACAGACCCTCCAAGCTCACATTTAAGGGCAAGACGTTGCTGGTTGATCCAGTGTCATGCTTTCTTTTCAGTTATGTAGTTAAATGTGGTGCTTGACATTGTCTGACTTCAGTGTTTTACATTAGCATGCATGCATATCTTAGTAATCCTTTTTGTTTTTGAGTGAGATCATTTTTTCAGTTTTTGTCTTGAATTTTCTGGATTGACAAATCATTCAGGAGGTACCAGTTGAGACTCTGGAGAAAACTGCATAGTTTTGTGAGGAAAAACAGTTTGAAATATTAGTCTGAAATGCTTATTGGACATGTTACTTGACTTTTATAGCTCAGTCATTAGTTGAATTGATAAAAATAGTTTATCTCAAATATTTGCTTCAGTCATATATTTAATAAAATGTACAAATTAATTTTAAAGATTGCCTTTTAGTGTTGTAGGGTGCTTGCCAGGAGAAGAAGATTCATTACACTATTTTTTGAAAGCTTTGAAAAACCTATAATTATTTCAGTGGATATGCTTTGAACAGTTCTGAATGCACCAGATATTTAGAGATATACTGACTGAGTCCCTATGTCCCACATCAGTTCTGAGCAAACTACCAAATGTACTTTTGAAAAGTAATTTTTGATTGTTTACCTTTACATAGTTGACATTAAAATTAAAAACAGTTCATTCATTTGGGTTGAAATTATAGGTGTATCTTTGTAGTCTGAGTTTTAGAACCTGTAGAATTTAGAACCGGCAGCAAAGTTCCCGTGAGTGATTGGGTGGGTTAGTATATCAAGCTTCAATTTTTATTTTTAAAGTATATTTCTCACTCCATGCATATGTACTTTATTGTTTTTTTCCTTGAGAAACAGTGTTCCTTCCCTCCGTGCCTCCTTTCCTCTTCCTTTTCCTCTCTTTTGCCTGCCTGCCTTCTTCCTTCCTTCCTTTTTTTCTAAGGCTTAAGTTTTTAAATTAAAGCTTACTTTATTTTCTTTTGTTTTGAAGACTGTTGTAAATGTAGTTCCATGGAAATACATAGAGACAAATCTTGATTCCCAACTATGATTTCTTTGACATTATTTTCACAGTTCCAAATATTTGACCATATGAATTTGCAGAATAAAGGCAAATTGAGTTATCATTGTGACTTAGTGTTTTGTGAAACTGTACTCAGCTGTTACATTGTTACTTTTTTTAATGTATGAAACTTCATGCCCTTTAATCTAATTTGGTATCAAAAGCATTTTTCCAATAAAACCTCTTAAGAACTCTTTTCCACAGAAAATATCCTATTTTGAAAATGACTAGTATAAACATATCACATATACATTGTTACTTTTTATGTTCTTATTTTATGTCTTTTTTTGTATTTTAGGAAATTTGAATGTTACTCTTCAAGTTTGGGATATAGGAGGGCAGACAATAGGTGGAAAAATGTTGGATAAATATATCTATGGAGCACAGGTATAGTATGAATTCTGATTATTGTAGCATTGAAATATTCTCTTTACCACAGCATGCACAGGTATGTACACCCACGCACACCCATGCATGCACACACACTCTCATACACTTTCTTTCTTACTAATTTGAATTTTTCTTTGTGGTACCTGGGATTGTACTCAGGACCTTGCACTTGCAAGGCAGGCACGGTTCCACTGAGTTAAATCCTGGCCCTTCCTAATTTGATTTTTTTTAATTGAGTTTATTGGTACATTTTAGGTATACAGTACAGTTATATTCATCATTGGGATCTTGTACCTCTACATGACAGGTCTTGGTTCTCATTTTTTCCCCTTGTCCCTGCCCTCCCTTCATCCCCTCAGCTCCTCCCCATTTACAAACACTTTATTTCCATTTTTTTCATTTTCTCATATTTTTTTCTTTTCCCCTACTACCTTTCCCGTACCCTTCCCTCTTTCCCTCCAGCTTTAGCCCTTTTCTTCCTATTTCACATTGTCAGTTATCTCATTAGGATCTTATGTACTATTACAGTTTTTCACACCAGAGAAACTATTCGGTATTTATACATGTGTGACTTATTTATTTCACTTAGGAGTATATCCTCAATATGTATCCATTTTTCTATGAATGAATCTAATTTCTCATTCTTTATGGCTGAGTAGTATTCCATTTCATAGAAAAACCACATCCTAATTTGATTTTTATCTGATACGTAGAGAGATGCATATGTTGCTTGTGCTAGTCCTTTAGTTTTATCTTCCTCAAATTATGTTTGGAATGATGTGAATGTGTGAATGGGTGACAGTCTTCATATGCTTCTTATATTACTAGATATTGTTATCAGCAGTTGAATAAGTATAATGATAAATGATATTTTGATATTAACTAATTTGATTATAGTGTCTGCAGTCATGATTGAATGAAAAATAGAAATTTAATTTCATTTTAAGTTACAATGACAAAAAGCATATCTATCTATGTTTTGGGTCTGTATTGTATTGTCTAGCAAATAATTACAATTCTTCAAATTTAGCTGGGCATGATGGCGCATACTTGTAATTCCAACACTTGTGAGCCTTGGGCAGCCAGCCTAGTACATAGCAAAGTGCTACAAAACCCCAAACCAGTTGCCCTTCGAGGTATCTTCCCAAAAGTTTTAAAGTCATCATACTATAGGGATACATGCATATCTTTGTTTATAGCAGCCAATTTGTAAAAGCTAGATCTTGCAAACAGACTGTATGTCCATCAACAGAGAATGAATAAAGACGCTGTGGTATTTATACACAATGGAGTACTACTTGGCCATAAAGAAAGTTAAACTTGAGGCATTTGTTGGCAAATGGATGTAACTTGAGAGCACATTGAGTGGAATAAGTCACACAAGCTTAAATATCGCATGTGCTTTTATGAGAAAATATATATGGAGACGATGCAAAATAGAAGATAGATAAATAGGAAGCCGGGAAAGAAGTTCAGATATGTAATTGCCCAAATTATCAATTCTGAGAGTCAGGCATGGTGGTGCACTCCTGTAATCCCAGCATTCAGGAGGTAGACTGGAGGATCGCTGTGAGTTCAAGACCAGCTTGGGCTGCATAATGAGTTCCAGGTCAGTCTCAACTACATAGTGAGACCCTGTCTCAAAAAAACCAAGAAAAAAAAAAAATCAAAACCAAATTATCAATTCTGATGTTGCAGAATATTTTAAGATATATGCTTATTTGTTTCATTTGTATTAGTAGTTTTGTTTTTGTTCACGAAAACTAAAGTTTTGTTCTTTTGTTTTCTTTGTAAGTCTTTCTTTTGGTTTATGTCTTATACTCTGAGTAGCGTTTTGGGTGTTCTTTTAAGATCATGATATACAATATGTTAACTATTGTCATTCTCTTTTGTTATGAAATTTTGATTTTTTTTATAAAAGTAATGAGTGTTTTTTGTATTTTTTATTACTACTTTCTTTTATTATTCAAAGAAAAAAGAAAAAAAAGTAATAACAGACCAAACAATCCCTCCCAAAGCAAAATAGATTTAATAGACATCTATATTTTACATCAGATAACTAAGTCCCACTATATGTATGAAGGACATACAATAAATTAATATGATAATGATGTATTTTCAGAAGAAAATTATGTAGAGCAAGAAATCACCTGAACAATTACATAAAAATTCTTTGGCAACATGAGCTTGCAATATAGTTTTTAAGTTTTTTTTTTTTGTTGGTACTGGGGATTGAACTCAGGGCCTTGTGCTTGGGAGGCAAGTGGCGATGCCACTGAGCTAAATCCCCAACCCAAAAGTAATTATGTTTTTTTTTTTTGTATGGGGGATTGAATTTGGGTCCTTGTGCCTGTGAGGCAGGCGGTGGAACCGCTGAGCTAAATCCCCAGCCCTAGTTTTTAAGTTTTTAGGTAAAAATCACACAAATAGAAACATATATTGTAGTAATACACTTTTTTTTTTTTTTTTGATTTTTTTAAGACAGGGTTTCCTTATGTAATTGAGACTGACCCGGAACTCACTATGTAGCCCAGGTTGGTCTCGAACTCACAGGGATCCTCCTGCTTCAGCCTCCGGAGTGCTGCCATTACAGGCGTGCACCACCACGCCTGGCTCTGTAGTAATATACTTTAAAAAGTTAATTACTTCACTCTGAGCATGTTCAGTGAAGAAGTTGCTGTGTTTTTGTTTTTGTTCTTGTTTTTTGAGACAGGGTCTCACTATGTAGTTGAGACTGACCTGGAACTCACTATGTAGTCCGACTGGTCTCAAACTCACAGCGATCTTCCTGGCTCAGCCTCCTGAGTGCTGGGATTACAGGCGTGCACCACCACACCTGGCTAAGAAGTTGCTGTTTTAATGCTTTGACCTATTGGTTTCAATTTAATGACAGGTTTAGAACTACAGTAATGCCGTTGAATGTTATTATTTGATGCTTGCTGAGCTCAGTATATAGTATTTATTGATGTGCTATTTACTTTTGTTTTTTCTTATGCTTTAAATTAGTGTATGTCTTTCACATCATCATGAGACATTATGAAGATAGTACTCAAAATCTTCATTTAATTTTTTATTGGAGTTTGGTGTTTGAGTAGCAGGAACATAAGTTTGTATTTGGAACTGTTTCTTATAAAAAATGAATCTATACAACAGAGAGGATATCTGTACAAAATTTGATTCTACTTTACTTAAAATAATTTAAAATTTATTTAAATTACTTAAAATTCATTAGTAGCATGTAAAAATAAACATTGATATGGAAGTCATATAGTGTGAAATTATCCATTCTGAAATGTATAATTAGTGGCATTTAGTACACCCACAACATTGTGTAATAATCTTAAAGTACTGTATATTTTATGTTATTATTTAGCGCCTTACAATCTCAGACATTAATGTGAAAATGTGTAGAAACGTCAAGAATTTCCATATTTTTTGAGTAGCCGAGTTTAGTAAAATGTCTCTGTTCTCTTTTAGTATACTTCATTTCTTGGGAGAAATTGAATATTATATTGCTTCCTAGAACTTGTCCTGTGAGGCTTCTATGTTGAATATACATACTGACATTTTTCTTTTGTCGATGATGCCTTATGTTTTGCACTTTATGATTTCTGTGATTTGTAGGCACATGCTGTTTTATTAAGCAACAATGTAGCATAGTGTTTTTGAGAAATTCATGAATATTTTTTGAAATATTCTAGAAACTAGAAAAGTGGGAGTTCTGAGATGATGAAATGAATTGTCATAAATTGATGATGTTGTAGTAAGTTTTCTGCTTCCAAAGATATTCCAAACTAAATGCTGTGTAAAACACATGAGGTACATTTATCAGTAGTCTGTTTTGTTACAGTACATAGAAATAGTATATTTAGTCCACAGAAGTTATTTATAACAATTACTTGGAGAAAAATGTTTTTTTCTCAAAAACAGTGCCTTTAAAAGCTCTAATATACTTAATAATTATAAATTATATACTCATATATTGTTCAAAGTAGACTTCATTTGTTCGTAAAGTTGTAGCTACTTGGGCAATAGAAAGTAATACTTTGGATTTGGCTTACCTGCTAGAGATCAGAAACCTTTTGCAAATAATGTTTTGATAAGCCATTCTGAGGGCATCAGTTTAAAATATTATTTAGAATTTCAAAACATTTTAATGCTTTTTTGAATCAGTGTGTTTGCAGCATATAATGGATAGAATTCATTTTGGGGAACTGGTACATGTACATAGTATGTCATGATAATTTTGGATTCCTGTACCTGATTCTCACCCTTAGTCCCAGGAATTTGTTTTTAGATTTTCTAACTTCTGTATTTTTTATGTGAGAATTATTTTATACATGTACAGGCTATTGAAGTAGGAAATTATTTTTTTGAAGCATTTGAAAAGGAAAAAGCTGGGCCAGGAATGTAGCTCAGTGGCGCTGTGCCTACCTGGCAAGCTCAAGGTCTTGAGTTTGATCCCCGGTACCAAAAAAACAAATACCCCAAACAACAACAACAACAACAACAACAAGAACAAAGAGAAAAGCTTATTTGTAGGCTAGACATTAACTGAGGTCTATATAAAACTGGATATTTTACCCTCTTCACTTTTCTTCCTAATAACATTAAACTTTAGCAATAGACGGTTGAACAGCGTTGGGTGAAACCAAATTGAATTTACATCCAAAAAGAATTAGTAAGATATTTTGGAAAGAGCTAGTTCTAAGAATTGGAATTTGTGCCAGTTAAATTTCCAGATTTTAAATTAACTTAACATTTTCTAGGAGTCTTCAGAAAGATGTTATAGGCTGTTTTTCCTAGTGGTTAGGAGCAAACACACAGTACATAGTGTTTAGTGCCCTGTAACCTGTGGCTGACAGAAGCTAACAACACACCTCAGAGAAGGACTGGATGTTTCGTTTTTGTAGCTCTTTCCATCCTGGAATCTAAGTGGTTTGCAAACACTGCCCCACTGAGCATAAACTCAATGAAGGGTAGTCATTTGTGAGCTA